ACCGATTAATTATGAATTTTAAAAAAATTAAAAATAATTTCTTGAATATAATTTTTTTCAGAAATTTGGGGTAAAAAAAGGGGTTGTAAATGAAAATTAGGAAAAAAATGGAAAGGAATTGAGTACAAATGAGTGAAGAATGATGCACCCCTTTTATACACAATTAGAGGGGTGTATTGGTCATAATTTTTCCAAGGGCTAGTTCAATAGCCAATCAACATTTGAAAGGGACGGATTTTGTAACGGAGATGGACTGCAGGGGGTGTTTTGTCGCATTTCATAGTACATGGGGGTAAATGCGACAGTGGTGATAGTACAGGGGTGCAAACTGTATTTTGCCCAAAAAAAAAGGGCTTAAAATGAAAATTAGGAAGAAATGGGAAAGGAATTGAGTACAAATGAGTGAAGAATGATGCACCCCTTTTGTAGACAATTAGAGGGGTGTTTTGGTCAGAATTTTTCCAACGACTACTTCAACAGTCAGTCAACATTTGAAAGGGACGGCTTTTGTAACGGAGATGGACGGCAGGGGGCGTTTTGTCACATTTCATAGTACAGGGGGGTAAATGCGACAGTGGTGATAGTACAGGGGTGCAAACTGTATTTAGCCCTTAATATTATAAAAACATTTTTGCGAAAGGGGTTTTTGAAATATTTTCAATAACTAAAATTGTAAGAAAATTTGAATTTCTTGGTACTATTATACTTCTACTTCCAGTCCAAAAATATTCAGAAACAAATTTAAAATCTGACATCAATATAAATAATTACTATAAAATTAAAAAAATTCAGATTATGAACGAATACAAAAATCACATTCGAATATGAGATATCCACCCTACCATTAATCTTGCAAGATAGCCTTTTTTCAGCATTTTAGATTAATAATCTCACAACTATATATATACACACACCACAATCAGTCGTTCATAAGATATCCTAGTTTCTTCTTATCATAACTAACAAACATGAATTACATAGTCCCATTTCTTAGTTTGTTCTTTGTCTTCATTATCCAGTTATCTTCAGCAACTGCAAATGGTTTCTGCTTACAAACTTACATTGTTCATGTTGATTTACCAGATAGCCAAATGTTATCTGATCAATTAGAAACATGGTACAGTTTGTTCTTGCCGACAACTTTAGCTTCCGAAACCGATCAAACACCACGAATTGTATATTCCTACCGCAATGTTTTCCCCGGTTTCGCAGCCAAATTAACACCCGACGAAGCGAAAGCAATGGAAAAGAAGGCAGGATTCATATCGGCGAAGCCAGACGATATGCCATTGCACACCACTCACAGTCCTAATTTCCTCGGACTACACGAAAACACGGGACTTTGGAAAGACACCCACTACGGCAGAGGCGTAATTATCGGAGTTCTAGACA